ACTAGCGTGGGCGAAATACCCGCGGAGATCTACACGATATGCTCTCCAACCATTTAAAACCTGCGCAATTCGGAAAATTGACGTTTGTTAAACAGACTGGACCACATCGATTTTAGTCTGTTTTCTCCAATGGGGCGACATGTCAATGTGCGCAAACTTTAAACTTTACTTGATGTGGCACTCAAAGTTTTTGGACAACGTTTGTTGAACCACTTTGCAAAAGTAAGACTGATAAACCAGCTCTAACCAGTAGCGATTCCGCCCCGCTATGTGCCGCGTTAAGGAAATGTTCATCTAACTCTGCCTCTTGGAACCTCAACATAAGTTTCATTGAACCACCGCAGCTTGTTTCATATATTTCTATGCCACATTCTATTCCGTAGGTTGAGTCCCTTTGACACATGATATTGGTCGATGGCATGCCGAATAAACTTTCTAACCTCATGAGATCCCACTACACCAACGCTAGGGCTCGAATCCGCATCTTCGGTGAGGAGTTACTCTCCTTCGATTTAAGATCTAGAGCATGACAGTGATGGCCTTGGTTAACAATGCTGTTTAACATCACCGTTTACTGGATAAAGAGATTCAGATTTTTCCGAACCTATTTCGAATTCGCTGATAACATCGTCATTTTTGGTGAAGATATGTTCAACCTCCAAGAAATTGTTAACAGGATCTGTCGACAGGTCTCCTAATGGGATGCGGTCTGACCGCTCTTGGATGCTGTCAGAAGGGCGTTTATGTGAAGAATTTTCTGTGTCGTGGGAAATAAATAAATCTTAGAAAAAAAACAAGATTTTGCGCAGCAGTTCATTCTGTCTTGCTGTAAGGCTGCAAAACATGGCCACTTAGAATCAAAATCTGTCAATGAATAAAATTCCTTTCTTACTGGTGCCGAATAATCATTCTGGGCGTCACATTGAGGGATCAGCTCCCAAAATGAGCAGTTAGAAACCATGGTTTTATACCGTACGGTTGCGCACGCTCATACAGCATTGACGAGTGCAATGGTTTAGACACAATGCATAAACGAGACCACGATCTGACCAAAGATGTTTTAGCACCGTTTCCCTGCCAAAACCGGTGCTGTCAACGTGGCTAAGCACCGTGCAAAAAGACGCAGAACTCCTTGTTCGTCGCTTCATTTAAAACGATCGCCAGTGGCAGCCAAGCCGGATCACAATCTGCGCAGTGCTTGCTGCCAACCGCCTATTATGGCTAGCTGCAATTCGGGTTGTTCATGAAGCCGCCCTATCCACGCCCAGAAATCAGCCACCGTAAAGTAAAGTAAAGCGATGTCAGCTTACCAGAAGCCTCAAGAATAACCATAAACCATCTTATGAAGCAGAAGTAATCGTTGTTTCGGGGAATATTCATGACCGTTTAAAATGATACGCAACATCACCGAACGCCGGTTTGTGGATTTATCCACAAATCTTTGGGCGGAGTATTTTTCGAGTAAATCAGCTAACCCGGCTAAGGTCAGAGTATCTGTTGAACCTGGAGCTCCGTCGGCGGTGCTATGTGATCCTCCAATAGAAGCCGAAGTACAGTCTTATCATCAAGATCCGGGAAAAGGAACAGCATGTAAATCTGATGGACTTTTTCTCACTCTTCAGGATGGGAGTGAGTAACTTGTACAGACAACACAGACCGAAATTGGCGTTCATGTTAGATGAATGAGAGAAGGCAAATAAGAATAATGGGACGGCCATATTCAAAGAAAATGCAGAAATGCAGGATTATGGAAAAAAATACAACCTTGGAAACACAACTGAGTTCACAGTATTTGCGTTCATTCCATATGCTTGGAGCAGACGAGGGAGTTCGACAAACAGTAGGAGTTCGTCATCTCTGCATACAAGGAGCAAGGAACGAGCAGGTATTTTTTGCAATTATGCAAATCGGGATACTCCGCCATTCCGCGCATGTTACTTCTTCTTTTTCTTCTCCATCTGTTCTACTGACGAAAAGCCGAATATATGGGTTCTAAAAACACGTCACTCTAATGTAAATTTTTTGCAAGGTATGTGAAATATGATAGGATAATTCCAAAGCAACTTCGATATGAGAATTGTAGCGAAGCCATTCAAGGGGCATGTGTGCTCTCGAACTGAGCGATAGAAAGATGTCGTGTTGTCTAGTTAAATTGCATTTTCCATAACCAGTAATCAATAATAAACAGTCTGTATAATGGTGATCAAGCTGTAGCTAGTTTAAGAACAAGCAAATAACCTGGAAAATCATATATGGGTGGGTTGATCGCGCAAAGAGAAAATGACTGTTGCGCCTCATTCTCTCTCTGTTTAACAAGAAGTTCGGTAATACCCACCATTTTTACCAATTAAAGGCGTTAGTGAACGTATGAGAATTGGTATTCCAAAGCATGGGATGCTTCATTCACAGACGGATGTCACTTCAGAATAGCAATGAAGAAAGGGATTTATGTTAACCCGGCAAGTAGCCCTTGAAATGCACCTGATATGCAAACCGCCGTATCACGTATACTCGGAACTTTTAAAGTAGCTCCCGTCGATTTCAACCTCTCAAAATATCTGTTTTCAAAATCCTTCCTAATACTTTTTTTCAATGTTTAATGTGACGCACTTGTTTCCCCTATGTAACTTGCTTCGACAAATCGAAGATAAGAAGCTCATAACCAAACCAATCATTCTATCACATACTGTGATGCGAACCCATTCTGAACTGTCCAAACGCAGCGGATTTAATGTGAATGTGCGACGGAATAATCCCGGCTTGTATTCCTATGTCTTCAGACGATATGAGACTTAGCGGTGACGACTCTGACGGTGACAAAGTGGGAGCGGTGATGCCAACGACGGTGACAAATTGGGAGCGGTGATGCCAACGACGGCGACCGGGATCGGTGGGAAACGCTTACAGACAGGCTCTCCGTGGGTCGGTGTTTCGATAGATCTCCAAGGGAAAAGAAACGAAATGCCATGAACCAAAAAGGTCCAGTGAGATACAAACGTTCCCGATAAAATATTACTGCCGCGGGTGTCAAGCGTTACAGTAGTAGATTAAAATTCAAAGGAGAAATTAAAGCTAGCTTAGGGTTACAACGAAAGATCATTCGTAGTGTCTTGTGCCCGTGACAATCAAATAATCCAAACATTACACCCTAAATTAACGTAGCCAAGATCTTAGAGATCGAACTGTCGATTAAGAGTAACGGTATCGACTGAACCCGAAGTTTCAATTAGTGCTTCAACGGGAGTGGAGCATAAGATGTACTGCAGTTGACCTGTCCCAACTGGAACAAAACAATTCTATAATGCACTTCATGAATCATCACAAAAATGGTCCAAAGCCATAAGAATGCGTTTAGCAAGTGCGAAGTGAACTATCTTCCAAAAACTCCAAACTGAATCGAAACACAGAAGGTCATACACAGATTATGGTTATTGTTAAAATTGAATGGGCTAGTCCTAACATAGCCTCTAGTGTAGAATACTTTCATTCTGCCTTCGTAGTTCATATTGATGTAGTTTCAGATACATGGTTGCTTTATTATTTCTTATTTCTTATTATTTCTTATCCGCTGTGTATCCACTTCTTAACGGAATCTACTTTTATATCATTTTCAGTTCTCTGTATCGCCTATATACCATTTATGGTCTATTACACGGCTTGTTTGGCCTACTTTTTATTTGGAAATTAGCTCCGCGGTCTGGTGGACGCTTGCATACGAACAGATCCCCGGGAGAGACCGTCTATCGGTCGAGTTCTGCAGGTGGCTAGTCGAATGCATGAACGCCTGAACGGCACATTCAAACATGCAACCTGCTCAGATTTCATCGAACGCCCAAACTCAGCCAGTGCCACACAATCGGGATCACTCATGCCGGACTCGCCTGCACTACCCTCGGGATCATAACCTCTAGAGAACTTATAAGAGACTCGAATCAGATTAATTTTTGCTCTTTCTTTCTATCCGTTTTGTTCCCTTCCCCATTACACCCGAGCACTGGTAAGATACATTCGAGTAGTACCCGATAGTTGCCCGAGTACATATCAATCTGATCATTACTAACCGTTCTGATTTCATAATCTCACGTATTATTTATAATTATACCTTGCGCGCGCTCTCTATCAGTCCATCTATTTCTGTTTTTTACCCCTCGTTTATGTTTCTTTTCAGTGCTTTCGCCTTTCACTTTATCTCTCTCGCTCACCAAAATGAACTAATATTTTTCCGTCTTAAACTATACTTCACATTCTAACCCGAATATCAGTGATGTGTCTTCATTTGAATTGATTCGCTAATAAACCCCCGTAGAATGACATTTTGCATTGTATCATGAGATGAGCGATAAAAAATTGAGTAAAAACAAAACAGTTGAAGTCACTTGAACTCGTGATTTGTTGTTTTAACAGAGGAAAATGTAATACTGATCGTAGGCGGGCATATACGTTTGTTGATTTCCTTGTCAGAGCATTACATTTCTGTCTGTTTAAGACAGAAGAAGAGGAAAGTCGTAAACAGTTTGAGTTCTTCAGTGCTTGGTTGGTGATTTAAAAATAAGACTAACTGAATGATTCAACAGTCCTCGGTATTCTTTGAGTGAACATTTATGCAGCAAACGCATTGGGATTTTACTAGCAATGATTACGTGATTATCTTCAGTGGTGTAAAGCGTTGTAAGAGGGAAGATGCCGGTCTCAGGTTATGCATTGCGCAGTCAGTCAGTTATTAGTGACGAGAACACTTTTCCAGTGTCTGTGTTGATGCATGGCTATTGATCGTGTTGATCACCGACCATCGCCGTCCACCGATCTTTCTGTAGTGAACGGCGCAAGCGCATATACGCAGTCGGTAGAGCAAAGGATTACATATGTGATACACCAGTCTAAGAGCACGGGTAGTTGCAACTCAACAACCATGAGAGCAGCTGTCGGAGTCAGTTACTGCTGTAACGTTGAGCTGAACGAAAC